GTACCCAAGGACAAAAGAGGCAAGGATTTCAACTCATCCTGACACTAACAGTGCAATCAAACATTCTCACCTGAGAAAAGGAAGTCAAGGCCGGGCATGGTGGCTCACACCTGTAATCCAAGCACTTTGGGAGGCTGAGGAGGGCGGATCACCAGAGGTCAAGAGTTTGAGACCAGCCTGGCCAACATGGTGAAACCCGTCTCAAAAAAAAAAAGGAAGCCAAAAGGCAACAAGATGATAATAGTCACCGGATTATCACATTTTATACCCTAGATTCACTCTATTAAATAATGATCAATGCACCTAATTTCAAAACTATATGTGGAAGTATCAAAAAATACTATGTGTATTAACAAACTATATAATAAAACTGGCCAGTTGCAGTGGCTCACGCCTGTAATCCCAGCACCTTGGGAGGCCAAGGTGGGCAGATCACTTCAGGTAAGGAGTTCGAGACCAGCCTGGTCAACATGGTAAAACTCTGTCTCTACCAAAAATACAAAAATTAGCCAGGTGTGATGGCCTGGGCCTGTAATCCCAGCTACTCAGGAGGCTGAGGCAGGAGAATCACTTGAACCTGGGAGGCAGAGGTTGCGGTGAGCCAACATCACTGCACTCCAGCCTGGGCGACAGAACAAGACTGTCTCCAAAAAGAAAAACATACATTCATCAGTGATGGGCTGCTACATGAAAAGAACTTGTGGTCATGGTGAATAGACTACGTATGCTGTTTTGTACTCTTGGCATTTTTAACCAATGCTTATACCTTTTCAAAAGATAAAATTTTTTAAAAGTATCTCTTGTGCTGAGGGATTTCTTAGTGTTTAACATAAGACACTGAAAATTTGAATTGCCACCAATGAATTTGCAAAGGAGTAAGTCATAGTCTAATAATATCCACAAAGAAATACACAACCTATCTGATTTCATGAACCTGTTAGGTGTCTTTATGTGCTTAACAATTAGCCATAATGGTTTTCTCTGAAACATTTTAAACCCAGTGATCTTCAACCTGGATGATTTTGTCCCTCAGGAGACATCTGGCAATAGAGACTTGTGGGTGTCACAACTGAGGGGGTGTACTACTGGCATCTAGTGGGTAAAGGCCAGGAATGCTGCTAAACATTCTATAACACATAGTACAGGCCCTACAATACTCAACCCAAAATGTCAGTAGCACCAAGACTGAGAAACTCCACAACCCAGGGAATCATTTCGTTCAATTCTGAAAGTAACCAGGTTCTTCATTAAGTTATCAACAAAACATACCCAATATATTCTCCCAAGTAATTAATTTAAATCCTTAAGGACTGACGGACTAGGAGTACAATAAATGTAGCTGTTGCTGGCCATTGTCATTTTAAGTTTTCGGAGATTTTATACAAAAATTAGGCTGGCATGCGGCACATGCCCATAATCTCAGCTTCTAGGGGGGAGACGGGCACAGGGATTCGCTTGAACCTGGGAGGTGGAGGTCACAGTGAGCCAAGATCGTGCCACCATGCTTCAGCTTGGGTGAAAGGCGGTGGCTCACGCCTGCAATCATAGCACTTCGGAAGGCCAAGGTGGGTGGATCACCTGAAGTTAGGAGTTCGACACCAGCCTGGCCAACATGGTGAAATCTCATCTCTACTAAAAATACAAAAATTAGCCAGGCATGGCAGGGGGCACCTGTAATCCCAGCTACTCAGAGGCTGAGGCAGGAGAATTGCTTGAACTCGATGGGGGACGTTGCAGTGAGCTGAGATCTCACCACTGCACTCCAGCCTGGGTGACATATTAAAACTCTGTCTCAAAAACAAAACAAAAGAAGGCTTTTATTTCACTATGTGTAGTTATCAAATTTTTCCAATAAACTTGATATTTTAACACATCAATTAAAATGCATTTGCCTTGGCCTACTACTTTGTACATTTTGAGCATGTTAACATGCTCCAAAATTTTAAGAAAATATTAAAAATGGGCTGGGCGTGGTGGCTCACACCTGTAATCCCAGCACTTTGGGAGGCCAAGATGGGTGGATCACCTGAGGTCAAAAGTTTGAAAGCCACCTGGCCAACATGGTGAAACCCCCGTCTCCACTAAAAAGTACAGTAGCCGGTGTGGTGGCAAGCACCCGTAATTCTAGCTGCTTGGGAGGCTGAGGCAGGAGAATCACTTGAACCTGGGAGGCAGAGGTTGCAGTGAGCCAAGATC